GTGGCCAGGGCCTCAAGCTTGCTGGAAAGAAGAATCATTTGATCAATGCTCTCAGACACGCTTTTAATTTTGGATGAACCTGTGTGAAGCCACAGGTTGGCCTTGATCCCTGTTGGTCCCTTCCAACTCAGGATATTCCATGGTTCTACAGTAATCTCAGTAGTATGCTAAAGTGTATACATATAGAGCCTGTGAGAGATCAGCACATTAAACCTATTTGCATGATTAATGTACATAATTTGTACTTCTTATGAACCATCTGTTCTGCCAATAAAAGGTGAAAATTTCTTTAGATATGTATAAATCTGTATTAATTTTAATTCAAACTAAATTTCAGTAATTCTTTTTAAAGTGTCATCCAAATGAAAATTTAAACAATCTATAAAATAAGGAAAAAATCCATGCAATAAAACTGTGTACAAAAAAGCAATTATATCAGTACTTTCAAAGCAATACCACAGATTTCTAATGTAAGAAGGGAAAATGAGTAGCTTCAGGGTTTGATTTATAAATCTTGTACTCTTTATTGAGATTGATTAAAAGCAAAAATTTTTGGCTGTATTTTTAAGTTCTTTTCCAGCTAAGGACAAAGAAATATGGGAACTATTGCATAGGAGTAGTCACTCTGAAATCTCAACTCATGCATTTTCTTGGACTGGCCCAGTATCTAAATATGCACAGACACTTTTACTGCTGGAGAAGAGTAGGTGCTCCAAGAACAGATAAATTTGTCTCAGAAATGAAGATTTACAGCAAGTCTCTAGAAATTTAAGGACATACCTAAAACCCCATGAAGTCCAAGTGGGAGACAGGGCCTTGCTGAAGACGTATCACACTGTAGAAAAGAGTTGAGACAGAGCAGATTGAGGACTTGTCAGTGGATATAGATGAAGAAATAATGTTTTGCTTTGTGACAGAGTTAAGGTGATCGTATAAGAACTGTGAAACCTGTTATCCTGTTCTAGTGTCTGGCTTCTATATATTATCTTACCAAGAAAAAGAGCAATAACAAAAATAATGCTCTTCATCTCAGCTGATAATACTACTTGCCATGACTTCAGAGCTAAGCACTTCTTTCACTGCATACCTTCCCTAAGAAATAATACACATTTTGCTGATTCATTTAACTAGAAGAGATGAAAAAAAAATCAGGAAGTCTTTATCTAAAGATTGGAAATTACACTGCACAATGGTGGTGGTTAAGATAATCTTCCGGATGGGAGAAACAGGCAAAAAAAAAAAATCCAGAGCTCATGATTTATTTTTTTTATTGGAGGTTCCTAAACACCTGGCTCATATACAGTAACTGCTGTCGTTCTGAGATATCAGTGAAGAACTTGATCCTGTTAATGTATGTTCAGCAAGCTCCCTGAACGTTCCAAGAATACTCTTGGAGTACATCTCTTCAGAAACATGAAGAAAAGACTAAAATTTCTCAAGGGATCCCACGTTTCTCAAGACTTTTGCACCAAATACAGTTAAAACGTGTACTAGAAAAGAATAGCAAGAACATGTATATCATCTACATATAGACGTACCCTTGAATTCTGGTAATTTTTCTTTTTTTTTTTACAGAAATTAAAAAGAACTAACACAGTGCAAGAAGAGTAGATAATGGAGATGATGTTTTCATATTGCAAGAACTGAGATTTTTACTTGAAGGACAGACATTTTTCCTTAATGCCTAGGAAAAATACAGGTATTTTTAATAAGCATAAAGGATCTACATAGTTGCTCATGAACTCACTTTGTCACCTGCTTTTATTGTCTGCCTAGGTTAATAATGGTTTTCAAAATACAGACAAATCTTGCCTACCTTCAAAACTTCTATCTAAGAAAAGAAATACAGGCAAACATGAATGAATTATCAACTTTTCACAGGCCCCACTGTAGAATAGTTTTAGAGCAAAAAAATTACTTTAGTAGAACTTCCAACCACCAGGGCCAAGACTCAAACTGACAGTCATAAAGAGAATTTTAGTATGTGGAGCATGTACTTGTAAACATTTCTTATATTTTCTCCACATTTCCTTTTGTCACTGAGGTTATAAAAATAGATTTTAGCTTCAAAAACCATTTGAAATAGTGAAATTTAAATTACCCCTCTATGATTTTCCTTGGCTGTCACAGCATCAACTCAGATTTCATTTCATATTGTGCAAATATCAAATTATAATTCCTACAGTGACTTTACTAGTAGCACAATACACATTTTTGTGTCTTGACTGGCAGGTTTACACTTAAAGCAATTAAATAGAAGTTTTAGAGTGGTTATTAAACTTGCTACATAACTTGTCTACTGTTCTGCAGAGTTTCTTTTTCACATTGCTAATACTCAGAAAAATGGTTTATTGATAGGAAGATCTTTTGAGAAGGACCTAAGCATTGTTTCTGCAAAAAGTAGAAATAGAACACAAGTTATATAATTAGTTAATAACAAAAAGAATATTAAGATTGGAAACCTGTTAATCTGTTACACCTTACTTATTATAGCTATAGTATTTATAATTCACAGTTCTTCATCAGTACAGGAGACTTAAATTTCAGTCTAGAACAAAGAGAAAGGGGTAGCAATATCTTACTTCAACAGTAAAGATGTGAAGCTTCTTGGAAAGAAATAGAGTGATTTCACATTTATTTATTTTTTTTTTAAATACACTTAATTATAGGCATAGCAAGCCTTCTAAATGAGAATTTCCAATATTTGTTGAACTTGTGGTGGTGTAAGCCTAGTAGCATCACATGGCCATTTGTTCACTCCCCTTGCAGGGCAGGGGAGAGAATCAAAGGAAAACGTGCTAGAACTTGTGAATTGAGATAAAGACAATTAACAGGTAAACAAAAAGTTGTGTGCAAACAAAGAAAAATTTGTAATTCATTTGCTACTTTCCAGTATAAAGCAGATGTTCAGCCACTTCCAGAAAAGCAGAGCTCATTATGTGTAAAGATAAGTGCTATCACTCCTGCTATCCCCCTTCTCCTCCTTCTTTCCCCAGCATATATTGCTGAACATGATTCCATATGGTATGGGATATCCCTTGATGGGTTGGGGTCAGCTGTCCTGGCTGTGTCCCATCCCTGCTGCTTGGCACTCCCAGTTCCTTACTGGCAGAAAAGCATGAGAAGCTGAAAACACCGTGGCTCTGTTCAAGCACTGCTGTGCAACAAGAAGAACGAGCACATTGTGACCACTGGTTTCCATCACAAATCTGAAACACAGCATCTTATGAGACTTTAAGAAGAAGAATAACTACACCAGCCCATACCTATGACACCTATGAATATTTTTCATGAAATCAACTGTGGTTTAAGAACTGAAGTAAATTGCATTTATATCCTTTTGGCAGGTAAAAAGTGTGCATAAATGATCAGGTATTTCCAGTTCTTGTTGTTCCTTTATGTGTGAATCAGCAGATAAGTCCATACGCAGGAACTCAATGTCATATAGTTGCTTCTAGAACTGGAGAGCCATTACAGCGTGTCTTCAATTGTTTTCTTTGATTCAAGTGCTTCAGGACAACATAATTTTAACCATTAAACAGGAGCTATTTCTTTTTACTTTACCTTCAAGTATGACATATCATTGCATCTTTACATACAAAATGAGTTGAAATAAAGGTGAAAAGGAAAACAAAGCATTTCAGTAGTTCTGTATTATGTTTTATCCCATTTTACATGGATTTTCAGAATGACAACTTTTAATCATATTTCTGGAAAGGAACAATTTTCAACATTTCAATCTGCCTTTCCCTGCTCCCAGGAAGACAATAAATGAAGTTTGCATTCTTTCCTGTATTAATTTGGTCTGAGGCATTCCTTGCAACCCTAATGGTATTCAGTTTGTTTATTGTACCGTCTTATTTTCCCTTATTTAAGAATTTATATTTATACCTGTGCTAGAATACTCTATTTACCTTGCTTTCATTATTGCATTTATGATACTCTCCTGTCTCTTGGAAATTTTCCTGGTGTGTCAAATACGCATATAAGAAAAAGAAAATAGAAAGAAAATAGAATTACAGATGAGAACATTATAACTTTAAGTCCTCAACAAAGTATCCAGACAACTCAGGCTGTACATACAAAGAGTCCAAATTTTTTTTGTAGAACTAGAGCAGTAATTGCTGTGTAAAACTCTGGAGCATTATTAACTTCGGCATAGATACATTTTAATGGAAAGTGTGAGTATAGAATAAAATTTATTTTTTCCACATAGATCTTAACTTCACAGGTGTTCTGACAGCTTTTCTTGAATATTTAAATGTTCAAAAACAGTTCATCCAGAAATATAGAGCCTCCAGATGAAGTGTTAAAGTATGAGCCAGACAATATTTTAAATTAAAAATAAAGATGTTTAATTGAACTTGCTTTAGGCTACTGACCCTGAAGATGTTAAAATAAAATAGAAAGTCATTTCACCAGCCACATTTTCCTAATCTCACAGAGTATTAATCATGTCCTTCATAATGAGAAAATTCTACTAGCTATTGAATTTAAGGTTATGTATAAAAACATTGAAAAGGGCTTATTTTAACAACTATTTTATCTTTAATATTTTTAATGGAACAATTGGATTCTATGCAACATGACATGTAACACATTTGTTGTGTATATATATATATATACACACACACACACACACACACACATTAATATGACAAATTCAAGCTCAGTACTTGGGTGACTGGATATAGATCATTTACTGGATATAGAGCATTTATTTGAGCAGTCAAGTTGCGTGTTTCTTTTCCTTCAAAAAGTGACAATTTCCCTCCATTACAACTTTTATTAATCAAATACTTCCATAGTGAAAAGGTTTCTATACACTGGAAGAAACATCGTGCTCTGTGAAAGAAGCAAGATAAACAACTAGTTGAGATCATCTGTGTCTCAGCTCTCCAAACTTTCTGCAAGTAAATCAGATATGAACAGTATCTAAACTGCTACATTTACATTTCAGCTGAAAATATAGTCTAAATTAGATTCTACTCCTGCAGTGCTTTAAATACCTCATTTAATGCTTGAATTCTATGTGCTCAAAAAGTCCAAACATATCTAATATTTGACACATAAGACAACTGGGCTATTCCACAATCTGTACTTACAATCTAAATGATGCATAGCTTCCCATTTTATTCAGCAGATTGTAGGAGCCCTCTGCTCCACATAGGATTCAGAAGGACTCTGATTTCTGGCGTCATAAAGCAAAACTGTTCTACCTGCTGCTTTTAATCAGGATTTTTTCCCATTGAAATACACTGAAAGCAAAGGTGCAAGTATTGCAAGAAATCACTATCTCTGCATCACATTCAACAATTGCAGCCGAGTAGTTTGTAGTTACAGAATCACAGGGGTTGGAAGGGGCTTCCAGAAATCATCGAGTCCAACCCCCAAAGTTGATTTAATCAATCTAAAAAAAAAAAAAAAAAAAATTGTACTGCTCTCCCCATTACTTCACACTATTCAGATACTCAAAAAATTTTGCAAAGAGAAACGTAGCAAGAGAAACTATAGTTGTGGTGTTTTAATGTTCTAATGAATCCTTCTCTGCAATGCAATTTCTTTTTTTCCATATAGGCAATAAGTCTGTCAGTGAGTAGACAGTCTCTGAGCTGCATTTCCTACTTAAACAGGAAGAAATGTTATATGATTGTCTCACTGACCGTAATGAACAAAATGAAATTGAAAAGTCTTGTTCAATAAATGTGCTTCAATAGTTCTGATGATTTTTTTTTCAAAGATATGTCACATATATTACACTTTTTATTTCACTTTGAATGAGAAACTACTAGTGCCACTTCAAATTAAGTTTTCCAGTTATGAATTTAACTAGACAGTTATTGGGCAATACAATCAATAAATACTAACTGATTGTTAAAAGCAAATTCAGACAGGATTAGTTGTGTAATGGATACATACATATTGTATTACTATAAAACCTCAGTTTTATAGGGTTTTACTAACCAACTGCTATTTCAAATGCTTATAAAATCTAAGTACTCTATTAAATCCAGTTATTTAGCCTGAATGTGATGGATTATATACTATTCTGTAACTGTTTGAAACTGTTGTATGTTGACCTGGATATTGGGATTGTTAGCATATGCCTGTATTTTGCTACTAGCAGAGTTAGATGGGCAGTGGCTTCCCTGCTGTTATCCAATGAACATACACAGCAATAAGTAAAACCAATAATGGAAAAAGGCAGTGCACATCATTCCCTTCAGCCTTCATCAACAGTAAAGCCAACTGTTAGTCTTCTAAAAGGAAGAAATCCATGCCTGAAGTGAACCCATTCCCCCACCTTCAAGGTGATTGAAATGCAAATGTTGATTCAGACTCAAGAAACCATTGAGGTTGGAAGGAACTTTTGGTGACTACATAGTCAATTTTGAGCAGAGTCAGCAGATTGTCCTAAAACCAGCTACACTATGGAACTTACTCTACTTTACAGGACTGTCTCTTTGAATCAGAGCATCAGAATAACCCTTTGCCATTAAAAGTTTCAGCACAAGAGTTCATTTTAAAGGTGCTCTCCAGATGGCTATAAGCACATACCTTCAGCCTCACCAGAATTATCACATTTTGATGTAATTTTGTGTCTGAGGCACAGCACTTTTGTCTCTTCACATCCACCTTGAACTTCATAACCTATGAATTTCATTAGGAAAAATAAAATTTCTGTTTTAAACAAGAACTTTTGCATGAGATAATTGAAACGTGCCTTAAGGAGTTTCTCTGCCTCAAGTAAGCCACAGTAGCAGACTGTACAGCCACAACAAAATGTCAAACATAACAAAAGAAACTTGAGGAAAGAGGCTTAAGCTGACACATTATAGTTAAAACTAGAATACATACACAACAACATGTACTAAAATAATTTTTAGCAATACACTCATATGTAGTAGTCAGGTTTTATGTCTGAGCCACAGCACAGAAACAGGAAAGTCAGCATCCACTGACCTTGGAAATAGTGTCCGATGGAATCTATGCTAAGTAATTGACTCTCAAACATATACTTCATCACCAAAAACATGTAGTTTCCAGATCCTTTTTTCTTTCGGTAGAAATTTTTCATTCTTAATCTAAAGATTTAAAATGTGATGACTTGGGACCATCTATATAAATGCATATACACAGAAGTGTGTCCAAGGTGAGTGTCTGCATAACTAATTTCTAGGCATGAGCTATGAATGTGAGGAAAATGTATGAACAATAACAAAGTTTCACACATTTCCATTTTTAGTCTGAAAGTCCCCATCTCAGTGCATTCAGAGGAGTTTCAAGTTTTATTGCCACAGTAGTAAAAACAGCAACTCAATAGCAAGTCTCCATCCAGCCAGTGAAAATCTCAACGCTTAGTATTCTGATCCAATAAGGTATTTAAACCCATGTGATTCCTTAAACAAGAGTAGTCCCATTGAAGTCAATTAGACTATTTATTTGCCTTAAATAACACATGGGATAAATATTCTGTCAAACTGGGACCAAGAAGAAAGTGCCTCACAGAAAATAAAACAGCTATAAAGCCTGTTTTCTGTTGGGGGCTATCAATTCATTTATTTCCTTTTTCCTGAGTTTTCACATCTGCTTCTGGCTTTCTTACTTACATAATTCAATTACCTCCAAGAACTAACTTAAGACTTATTTGAAGGAAAATATGCTAAACAGGGGCAGAAGCAAATTTTTATTTATAATAAAGCAGCACAGCTGTAGAAGACCAACAAGGAGCAGTTTCTTTAAACATTGAGACAATTCTCCACATTACTTCTGTTTCTGCGTCACGTGCAAACGGTCATTTCTCCAGTTATAGACTGAAAAATTCTAAGAGACAGTGAACTCAGATTGTTCACAATAAGTTAGTACAAATTTATTTAGCAGAATCTTGTGGGGAGGTTTTGCCTGACGTTCTGGCATCTTCTTTGACTAGGCCTTCAGTATACTCTGAAGTTCAGAGATTAGCAATTTCAGGCAAGTAGGTTATATCCCTGTTCAAAATGTTCCTTGATGCAGAATACTGTTAACAGAAATTAACCCTAAAAAGGTGAATGTCTTTTTATGTTATCTGTGCTCTTTCACCAAACAAAAGCCAATACAGAAATACTAATCAGTAGAGAAGCACACTGTTGGTAACTTTAATATGTATTGGAATTTTAGTTGCACATTTTATTAACATATTATGCAGTAATGTGGGATGGAGCTTTACATTGCCTTTCCCCCTGTTTACAGTCTTCTGACAAGTGTAATAAAGAATTATTACTCAATTCCTCATTAACATCACATATTTCCAATTAGAGTTTTACAAATCATCAAGACCATGAAGTCATTTGCTTTAGAAGACTCACCCTATATTATTTTGTCAGAAAATACTTATTAATACCACGTACAGCAAGTTCAAATTGCTTTTAGCTTTAGCATTAACAGGGAAGGGGCGTTGTGTTTGTTTTTTGTGAGTCCCTTCTACTGGCCATACTGTTCTCAGACAATAAGTATCCATAACAATCTCCAGCATAAGTTTGCATAAATACATAATCAGAAACAAATAAATATGCTTATGACAACAAAATGCATTTGTAAAAACTGGATTTTGAAAACACTTGATCCTGAGAAGGCATTTATACTATTCGATAGAGTAAACAGTAGCTGTAACTGTATTAGAGAGCTAATAACATTAGCGCTGATCATGACTCTGCCAATAACTTTCTTTTTACTCAGTGTGTTTCAGTATACACAGGCTAAACTTGAAAAAACACTTAATTTCAATATGATCATTGAAAAAAGGTTTCTAAAATCTTGTTAATTTGGTGGTGGTTATGCTGTTGTTTTGTTTCCTTGATTGTTTTACTTTGTTTAGGCCCGAAGTAAAGAGTGAGAGACACTATAAAAGTACCTTATTCTCAAGCAGCTTGAAAGTGAATGGTGGTAGTGTGTGAATGTGCTATGGCACACACCTTCATAAGGATGAAAAAACTGCTTTAAGAATTATTGCTTACAATGAAAGAAAAAATAAAAATAAAAAAAAAATAAAAAAAAAAACTCTGAAACCTTCCTTTGGTACTATCACCTGTTAACTAACCACAAACATCCCAGTGGTACATTTGACAACGAAACATAGTTTAACAACTTGCGACTTTCAAAGCCCTATTGCATAATCAACGAATATACAGATGTTGCAATTAAGAAATACACAAGAAGGTCAGGCTCAACAAATTATCACACTAAAGAATGGATGGAAAGCTTACCCTTATCCTAAACTTGCTGAGAAGGCTCCAAGAGAAGCAATCTCCAAAAGAGATCCCTCCCCAGAAGTAGTCAGATCTTAAATGGGTCTAGGAGAGGTGGAGCAAGGCTTCACCCCTTCCAGTAGCACAGGAGAATTGCCTTCACCTGTGCTCCCAGTGTTGACTCATTGCTTGCCTCAGGTGGTCAATCAGAGGTTCAGGATGTGATTCAGCAGTTTCCATACATTTGTTGAAGTCTGAATATTCTGAAAATGAACATGTTAAAGTCACACCCTTAGCTTAGGGGTTTGTGTTTGCTGTTGGAATTTTTATTTTATTTCTCAATTCATTCTTTCTGTGCACTATAGTTAAATGAAAACTGGATACACATTTAAAATTAATTCTCTTCTAACACTTTACAAAAGCATAATAAGAAATTTAATATGAAAATAATGAAATGTTTTAAAAAAGGTGTATGGTATTTTATAGCATAGCACCAAGTAAACAGTAAGATGATTGTTGCCTCCTTCAGTCAGCAAGGTTATACTGTTGAGCCAGGCTAAAAGTTAAAAGCCTTTTTTTTTTTTTTCAAGGATGCTCCTTGTGGCATCCTACCAAAGTAAAAAGAACAGAACTTTTCACAGTCAAAACTGAAGTGAAAAGCTATGTAGTGTATGTCCCGCTGTTTCTCTGAATGGTACTTTGATTTTCTTCAGACTTTTTCTAGCACTGTTTCCCAAGACTCCTTTCCAGTGTAATATTTCCTTTGAAGTCTTACATAGCTTTCAAGTGCCAACCTACTTGCTCTTGAGAGATGTCAGTGGCCTGCTTGAGAAAGATAAGCAGCACAGGCTGACATATTCAGTGTATTTTGTTTACTGTAGTTTTATCTCAGTGATCAATAACTATATGTAACAGAAAGATGGTTTCAGTCTCCCTTTGATGTGATGCTAGGTACATTGCCTAAGGTCTTTTTTCACTGTCAAACACGGTTTATTCTAATATCTGTAGCCAGTTTAGCACCAATACGATGTTTTATACTCAGAGGTGCCAGCTATGCTTTCACTTTTGATTTGTATTCATTCTATCAAAGGGATTATATTTTAATATACTATGGTGTCTGGCTTTAAATCACTGTCAGCAAACTGCATTTGTTGAGTAACAAGCTCAGGCCAGCAGAAAGGATTTCAAGCAGTGAGGAGTTCTACTAGAGGGTTTTGTTTTCTAGGACTTTTCACAACAGAACTTTGAACACTGGCAAAGATTATTACTGTCAATGTATTCGGTAAGTACATCTGTTTGTGGAAGTTAGAGTTAGTACATAATACTGCTCAAAGGTGCACATTCTATCACTTCTTCAATAAGAATTAAATCAGAATCATAGAATCACTCAGGTTCGAAAAGACCTTAAAGATCATCAAGTCCAACCACAACCTAACTTAACCATACTACCCTAATTCTAACAAATCATGTCCCTGAGCACCACATCCAAACGGATTTTAAACACATTCAGGGATGGTGACTCAACCACCTCCCTGGGGAGCCTATTCCAATGTTTAACCACCCTTTCTGTAAAGAAGTTTCTCCTGATATCCAACCTAAACTTACCCTAGCGCAAATTGAGGCCATTTCCTCTCATCCTGTCACCAGTGAGAAGAGACCAACCCCACTCTCACTGTAAGCATCTTTCAGGTATTGGAAGACAGCAATAAGGTCTCCCCTCAGCTTCCTTTTCCCCGGACTAAACAGCCCTGGTTCGTTCAGTCACTCTTCATAGGGCATATTCTCCAAGCCCCTCGCAAGCCTTGTTGTCCTTCTTTGGACCTGCTCCAGCACCTCAGTGTCCTCTCTGTACTGAGGTGCCCAAAACTGAACACAGTACTCGAGGTGAGGCCTCACCACTGCCAAGTAAGGGGCAGGATGATTTCCCTAGTCCTGCTTACCATACCATTCCTGATACAAGCCAGGATGCCATTGGCCCTCTTCGTCACCTGGGCACACTGCTGGCTCATATTCAGCTGACTGTCCATCAGTACACCAAGATTCCTTTCCATCAGGCACCTTTCCAGCCACTCCTCCCCAAGCCTGTAGGGTTGCTTGGGATTGTTGTAATCAAAATGCAGGTCCCGACACTTGGCCTTATTGAAACTTATATAGTTTACATTGGCTCATCAATCTAGTTTATCTAGGTACATCTGTAATACCTTTCTACCACTCAAACTCTCATCAAGATCATTGATAAAGATTTTGAATAGGAGTGGACTCAGTACTGAGCTCTGGGGGAAAAAGGTGTGAAAATGAATGAAGGCATGGAGTAAAAAAGCACACTTATCTGCTTCAAGGAAAAGCAAACCATCCATCCAAAAATATCAGATAAACCTATTTAGTATTTAAGCACATTAAAATATTAATGTCTTTTTATTTGCCTTTTTTAATAGCATGTTTAGTACTGCCTTATCTGTCTTATATCAATACTTACATGACTGAGTTTATGGAGACAAAATTAAATGTTGTCATCTTACACTGACTCAACTATTTGCATTCTAACGGCTGAGGTGACATACAACTAATGTAGTTGTAAGATAAAATGCATTAGCTCATCACTGAGACATTCTAAAAGTATGTTGATGGTCAGGTAGACCATTTAGCTTTGCCTGTAGCACTAGTTCAGTCACATTCAGTTGTGTCAGTACCTTTAAAATATATCTTTTCAGTTTCTATCACAATTGCAAATTAATAACACCTTTTCTTAAGTATGGTCTATATAAAATGCTTATATTATGTTAAAATAAGAGTGCATTAAAAGACAAGGGATTTGCAACCCAGTTGTTTCTACTTTGGCTCCAGCAGAGTAATACAGTGCCATTTATTAACTTATTGCATGAACAATGTAAACTTTGAGATTCAGGGACCAGGATTTATAAGCATTTATATTCACTGTATGGACTAGCACTGGGACAAGTGGGGCAAGAAAAGTTTGATTTGCATACACTTTATTTCAGTCCCCCTGTATTAAACCAGTGCTTCAGGAAGGCACAAACAAACAAACAAACAAACAAATAAATAAATAGGGGGCTCACAAGTTAGAAGAAACAGATTAATCCTCAATCCACAATTAATAGAAGATTGCACTGCAGTGAAAATTGCCTTATCCTGCTGTTTATTGTTAGGCTCTCTTTCAACTTGTCTAACCAGGACCTTCCCCCTTCCCTGAACAAAAGCCCACAAGAAAGACATACTAGGTTTCAGCCTTTGTTCCTTAATAGCAACGCTTTAGAGGAGTGTTGGGAATTAAAGATCACAAAGGAGTTTGGTAAAACATATGTGGAAACTTTGAAATAGGAAGAAAAGAGGAAGATTACTTCATTATAGCTTCTAAGAATAACTTTTATGTGAGCTAAGGATGACACCTTTACATAGAATAAGGGTTAAATTCTTTTTGTACAGGCATTAGGAAGGATGCTGGCTCTTAGGACTTGGGTTCAAGCGGGCAGGTATTAGAAATCTCCTTATGTAAATCTGAATTTTTATAAGATCCCTTTTCATTTGAGAGTGCATTAAAGCTAAGAACATGAGTGCCACAACCTCTCAGCTTGTGAGAGATATTCCTCTTTTGGATGAGCATGCATAATTCTTTCATAAAATGTTTGCTCCGGTTTGGAGATTTTTAAATGGCACTTGTGATGTGGTGGTAGGCCTCTTCTCTAAGAAAACTGGTGATAGGATGAGAGGTAACAGCCCTAAGTTGCACCAGGGGAGGTTGGATATTAGGAAAAATTTATTCTCAGAAATCACAGGAATCATAGTCCCTGGTGGCATTCTAGAAATTTGTGGGTGTGATACTGAGGGACATGGTTTAATGGGCATGGTAGGGATGGGCTGAAGGCCCATCTAGGCAGTCTTACTCATTCAATGATTCTATGAAAAGCAACACAAGATTCAACACAAAAGAACACAAAGCCTGATAAAATTTCTTCACAGCTATACAGCGTGTATTTCTTTAAAAACAAAGCTAACCCACATATTGAATATATATATATACATTACGAAGTGTTACATCTGATCTGTTTTCATTACAGTCTTGTTGACTAAATAATGTTAATGTTATGCTTTATAAAAACAAGGGTATTTTTTTCCAGGGAGTGCAGATTTTTTTTTTTTAATTAATCCTTTCGGAAAACAATGCCTGGAAGCCACATCAACCTCATTTCTGTTTATAATTATTTTGGGCTTTAAGAGTTTCTAGACCTCTGTAGGGAGTTGTCTACTCACATTTTCTAAATAAGAGTATAATTCTTGGGTTTGTCTTATGATTAATTATTGGAAAATCATCTTCATGCATGAGGAATGAACATGTGAAAGTGGGATCTTTTTCAAAGACACAAACAGTTAGATATTTCCTCTGGGTGACATTATGTATTAGAAGTAAATTCCAGAGAAGCTTCTGCAGTTTTTCTTTGGTGTTCTCTCTAGGGTACACAGACTAGTGCAGAAAGGTCTACAGTGTTTACCCTGCCTGACTGCTGAAACTTTTTGAAATGCTGCCCTATTCACAGTGGTAGCTTTAATCCTTTTTTAACCAGAAGTCTACCTAGTTTAAACTAGCTGTTCAAAGCTTCTGATTATTATACAATCATAGAAACACAATTTCAGGGGTGATATGTAACAGAGCATGGATCCAGTAATCCATTATTTCTCTCCTACTGATATAGTAGTTACAGTGGCATGATTACATTATTATTATTATAATTTTTACTGAGGATGTTTTTTATTTTTTATTTTACTAAGTAGCAAAATTCTGCTTTAGAAATGTCAGAAGTGAAAGTTATGGATCCAAGCCTATACATATGAAAGGCAATCATCAGAAAATTCTGTCCAACATATCTGGCTTTTTTCACTTCCTATAAAATGGCAAACAAAATATCTATGCCATAATTCAAGTTCCTGAGAAATTCAGAAATGGTAGCCTTCAATAGGCTTCACATTTTTTATTGTGAAATCAGATAAGCAACATGGGCATGGGTAACTACACTAAACACTTAAGTTCTGCTCTTACCTCT